GTAACACACACAGACTCGGAGGTGATCTCACATCAAATAGTTTTATTACTCATTCGGATGTAATAAGCAGCAGGCTGGTAGTATTTCTTCCACATTCTTAGTAGCACCGATGGTAACAAGAATGAACGCCCTGACCCTGGACAGGAGCAGACAGGAGTAAAGCAGGATATTTTTCACAGGGTTTTGGTTGTTTTCATGCTCACTGAGTTGTTATCCTTAGCTGTAAGTTGCAACGTGTGTGTAACATGGCCCAGGCGATAAAACCTCACATCACTGTTGAACAAAGGAGGAAATGTGGGACCAGATATCACGCTTTCAGTTGTCAAGAAAATTCATTATTAAGAAAGTGATAATAGCAGACTTGGAAAATTATGACACGATTAAGCAGAATCAACCAGATTTTATGGATGGGGCTTCATATTTTACAAATATGTTCGGGTTTTGTGAGGACATAACCAGCAGGGTTGAGAAATGGGAAACACTGGATGTAGGTTTTTAGATATTCAAAGCTGATCTGATAAAGTGCTGTGCAAAGAGCCATTGCTATAAAACACGGGTTTATGGAGATGAAAGTGATAGATTAGCGTGGATAGCGTGTTAGACGTAGAACAGAAGACAGCGAATGGGAATAAATGGCTCATTTTCAGCCTGTCAGATTGTTATTACTGGGAAAGCCTCAGCGATTTGCTATCTGTAAATTAGACTTCGATAAGGGGACTGTGCCTCAGACAGAGAAAGAGAGGGATGGAGAAAGTCATTATTCCACTGAAAAAGGCCATTCAGTCCATCAAGTCCATGCCAGCTCTCTGCAGAATAAACCAGTCAGTCCTTCTCCCATGACCTATCCCTGCATCCCTGCATGTTTAATTCCCTCAAGTGCCCATCCAATTTGCTTTTGAAATTATTGAAGTTTATTCATGGTAGAAAGTGAGGTGGCAGGAGAAGGTATGAGGGGGGCACAAAGGACTGGATCTTCCTGTGGGCTGTATGATCCTGATGCTGGTGAGCGCCATTGCTGGTGAAGCAAACTTCTGGAAGGTCACCTCTGCAGTCTCAGACGGTCAGGCCAGCTCCCAGTGGTGCCAACCCAATCTGAGGGCTGGCATCTTTGAAGCCCTGCCAGGATAGGTGTTGTTGTGGCATGTCAGAAACCACAGGGCACCTCAATGTGGTGCCACTGATGGTAATAAGCCATTATCAGAGCTGATGCCAGGAGGCCCCGTGGTGCAGAGTCGAAGCACTGGAATCGTTTAGGCTGTGGGTGTGGTTATTCCTGCCCAGACCCAACCACTGGGTCATGAAGTCTCCCATCTCTATTGACCTGGCATCCTAGCATATGGTGGGGACCACCCTGCCATTGGCAAAGAGGCTGCAAACTTGTCCCTGATTGAGGCCTCAATAACACCTCCACACAGGAGGCGGATATCTCAGCCCACACCAGAAAAACTCCCTGGGAGCAAGGTTACATCCTGAGAGCTGTCCCGATGCAGCTCCCCCTCATTCTCCCAGACACCCTGTATCCAGTCCACCATCACGGGCGGGGGAGAATTGAGCCCAAGCCTTTGCCCAATGTGAAGGGATGGTTTAACTGGAAAGACAATGGCAGATGGAGTACAGTTGGGGAAATGTGAGTTTGGACAAGTTGAGAAAGGGCTTGTTTTTCTAAATGATGAGGAACTGTCAAATGTGGTTGCTGAGAGGGATTTGGATGTCCCTGTTCACAAAATACAAACACACAACGCAAGCAATTATGAAGAAAAATTGTACAACTGGGCTTTATTGCAAAGGGGTGGGAGTATAAAAGTGAGGAAGACATTGGTGAGGCCATGTACACTGCTTTGGTTTCTATACCCAAGGAAGGGTTTATTTGTGTTAAACAGGGTGCAATGAAGATTTACTAGATTGACTTCATTAATAAATAGGCTGTGCTACAAGAGCCATTGAGTGGAATACATCTATATTCTTTAGAAGAAAGAAAAGTAATCTCATTGAAACATTTCAAACTATAAGATGACTTGCAAAATAAACACTGCGAGATTACTTCCCCGGCTGGTGATTCCAGAAGAGGTAGGCATCATCTCAGTTTAAGGAGTTAGTGGTTTTGGACTGAGGTGAGGTACATATCTCAGATGATTGTGATTTTCGGAGATTCTCAGATGCAGGCGCTCAGTTACCGAGTATGTTCAAGGCTGAGATTTACAAGATTTTTTTGGACTGTAACAAAATTCAGGGACTGATGAAAAAAAAAGGAGCTCTGGTTGAGGATTAGTCATGATTTCGTTTAATGGTGGATCTGTTTGAAGGAACCGTGTGGCTTAATCCTGCTCCTGCTTCCATGTTCCTGTGTCAGAGGGGAGATGTGGCATTGTCACTGGACCAGTATTCCAAAAATCCAGGCTAATGCCCTCAGGTCATGGGTTTAATCCCATCACGGCAGCTCGGAAAATTTAAATTCAATTTGTTAATAAAGATCAGGACCTGAAAATAGTCCTCTGCAACGGTGACTATGAAACTCTGAAATGGCCAAGCACTTCACTCAATTCAAGAACAATTAGAGATGGGTGACAAATGTTGGCCTTACCTCTGGCAGCCTATAATCTCTGGATCACTAGTGCAGTACTATCTGCTGTTCTAGATGGTGTCAGTCTCCATGTATCTTACAGGTAACAGCCACCTGGATGAATGATGAGTATTCCATTGCATTTCTGACTCAGGCCTTATAGATGATGGAGGGATCAGAATTGCAGCCATTCACTGCAGACATTTTTTTCGTTTCATTCATGGGATGTTGGCATCACCGACTGGCTCAGAATTTATTGCCTGTCCCTTCTTGGCCCTGAGAAGGTGGGGGTGAGCTGCCTTCTTGAACCGCTGTAGCCCCTGTGCTGTGAGTAGACCCACAATGCCATTAGGGAGGGAATTCCAGGATTTTGACCCAGTGACGGTGAAGGAACAGCCATATATTTCCAAGTCAGGATGGTGATTGGCTTGGAGGGGAACTTGCAGAGGGGAGCATGTTCCCATGTATCTGCTGCTCTTGTCCTTCTAGATGGAAGGGGTCATGGGTTTGGAAGGTGCTGTCTGAGGATCTTTGGTGAATTTCTGCAGTGTATCTTGTAGACAGTACACACTGCTGCTACTGAGTGTCGGTGGTGAAGGGAGTGGATGCTTGTGGATGTGGTGCCAATCAAGGGCAGCTTTTGTCCTGGATGGTGTCAAGCTTCTTAAATGTTGTTGGAGCCACACTTATCCAGGCAATTGGGGAATATTCCATCACACTCCTGACTTGTGCCTTGTAGGTGGTGGACAGGCTTTGGGGAGTCAGGAGGTGACTTCTTTCTGTAACCATCATGCTGATGTGGCTAGTCCCCACATGTGTTTCTGATCATTAGTAGTGGCTGAGATGTTGATGTTGGGATATATCAGTGATAGCAGCAATCTTGAATTTTTGCTTGTTTACAATACTCATTGCTATTGGTATGAATGTCAATTTCCTTAAGTCCAATTTGGGAATGTGGGCATCACTGGCAAGGCCAACATTTTTTGCTCGTTCCTAAACGCAGTGAGAACATGGTGGTGAGCCACCTTTTTGAACCGTCGATGGGTCCTATTAGTAATGGAGCTATGGGGCTTTGACTCAGTGACGGCGAAGAGAGAGCAATGTAGTGTGTAACTTGCAGGTGGTCATTGTCTGCTGTCCTTCTACATCATGGAGGTTGCAGATTTGGAAAGTGTACTCATGTGGGGAAAAGAAATGACCTCGACAGTCTGTTAGATGAGTACATGACGAGCTAAAACTTTCTTCTGAGCTTGTTGGAATGTATTGTGTGAGAGGACCTAAAGCAAATGTATACTTACAGATATAGCAATGGCAGTGATATGAATTAGCTTGGTCACTTGTATTTAAAGGAACAGGAAGAATTTGGATGACATAACCGTGCAGGAAGATGATTGAGAGTTAAGTATGTTTTCTTTGGCTTGGTGGTATTATTCTGATGTCCCTTCTGTGTATTTTTGATTTGTTCATGACATTGAGGTAAGTCCCTGCATTCATGTGTCTACCATTCACAAATTTGCTTCGCCACACAAAACTTAATGTGCACCTTTTCACCCACTGTGAATCCAGCTTTCACTCATCTGTAGTCTTCGAGAAGGAAAAGTAAGGGAAAAAGGACTTGCTTCCAAGGGAACAGGTGCTCATTGGTTTACATATTGAGCGGTCTGCCATGTTAACAGCTTGTGAATATCAACTGATTGTCACTTTCTCCGTGAGTACATTCCTGCAAATGGCAGGATTTTACTGGGCCGGTGGAGTTCAAAGGTAAAATTGGTCAAAGAAATGTAATTGAAACTCTGTAAGGCACAGGAATTGTGTAATGTGATGTCTCAGGAAAGACCTGACCCTACAATGTTATAATGTACAGCACAATTGTATGTACTGTAGGGTTTAAAGCAATTAGAGAAAGGCGAACAGGGAAGGAGTCTAGCACTACTGAAGCAGGCTCAGTGCATTGCTGCAGTGCATCCAGAAGCTATTGCACATTGTCAGTCTAACCCTGGATGTTGTAAACTTCCTTAGCAGAATGTTTGTCAATTGTCATTTAACAATCCCATCTCTGATCTAATGACAGAGGGAAGGCTATGAAACAAAGGGTTGGCACAGAGGCACCTGGAAACTCTTGGAACGCAACATAATCTGCCTCGAGACTTCCAAAATCCAAGTTAGTCAATATGTCTTTGAAAGCAGAGTGTTGCAACAGCAGTGGTTTAAACAGCATGAGCTGTACCTACCTGATTTGTATTCAATTTGGAAAGGAATTGAACAGGGGCTCTGAAGAGGGAGACATTTGTCTGTACGTGACCCTCCTAGAGTTAAGGAGGAGATCTGGCAGTAACATTCAGTCACAATACACAGGGTAAAAGGACAGCAAACGGTCAGTGTTGCTATGGTAACAGACCTCAATGTTGACACTACTGTCATGGATTTCTTGCACGCTCAATGAGAATTTTCATAAAACTCGGCTTTAATTTAAAAAAGAACCTGTGGTAACTAATTTAAACCACCCTTAAATATTGGCACATGAGCAAATTTCCTGCAGTTGGTCAAAGAGGTAACTCCTCAGCCTTAGCTACCAGTCAACAGCAGGATGCTTAGTCCAACAATGTTAAATGTAATAGGGATTCTTCCTGTGCTGATAACTGGACAATTAGTACACAATCCAATGAAGAACATATCGGCCCCAGTTCAAATAACCTCTCTGCTAGGACCTTTCCCCACAGGTCAGAACGCAGTTGACATGATGATCTCGACCGTATTTTGTGGGATTGTCCCATTCGGTGCAACTCGGAGCGGTGTGTTTTTCCAGAGTTTCCTGTTCTTGAACTCCTCACTGATTTCCAGTGGGGTCTTGCCCCCTGTTTCCAGCAGAATGAAGTAGCCCATGATGGTAAGCAGTAAGCAGACTCCACAGAATATCAGGAAGCACAGGTAGCCCAGACCTTCCTGCAACAGAAACACAGGCAGTGAGGGGAGGGAGAACAGTACAGGAGGGTTAGTGAGTGAGACCGAGGGATGGTCAGCGAGGGAGGCTGAGGGAGGGTCAGTGAGTGAGATCAAGGGAGGGTCCGTGAGTGAGGCTGAGGGAGGGTTGGTGAGTGAGACCGAGGGAGGGTCAGTGAGTGAGGCTGAGGGAGGGTCAGCGAGGGAGGCAGAGGGTGGGTCGGTGAATGAGGCTAAGGGTGGGTCAGTGAGTGAGACCGAGGTGGGGTCAGCGAGGGAGGCTGAGGGAGGGTCGGTGAGTGAGACCGAGGGAGGGTCAGTGAGTGAGACCGAGGGAGGGTCGGCAAGTGAGGCTGAGGGAGGGTTGGTGAGTGAGGCTGAGGGAGGGTCAGTGAGTGAGGCTGAGGGAGGGTCAGTGAGTGAGGCTAAGGGAGAGTCGGTGAGTGAGCTGGAGGTCAAGACAAATCGATCAATGTTCTGAGAGAGACGCACAATTGTCTGCTTTACAATTATTGACATGACTTACCACCATGAAGGAGAAAATGATTGTGACCAGGAAGAGACCAAACCAGTTGAGGAAGCCATTGATAACATAGCCAGCTGGACGGTCAGATTGCAGGAAGATTTCTGAGGGTAAGATTATAGCCACTCCACCTGGAACAGCACCAAGAAGTATTCCAATTAGATATCACTGCAACCAGCATCTCCATAGGAAATATCCAACTCCTCACTTTTAATTCAAGTTATCAAGACCCCTGGATTGTCTGAAAGCCTACCTGATTTGATAGGAAAATAAAAGGGAAAACTGGAAATGGGATAAAAGGCAATGGATAGTGGAGAATTGGGGGTGGGAGAAGTGTTCGACTCAAAGTCAGGTATCATCAAACTGGATGTTTCTAACTCCTGGGTCAAAATACTTCCCAGTCCCTCTTGCCCACAGTCAGTGCTCACTCAGCTCAGTGTTGCCACTGCTAACAGGTGGCAAAAAATCAAGGGGCAGATCACCCTTGTATGTGGGTGTCCCCAGAAGTGTACTTGAGTCATTCGTAAAGATCGAAGCGCCTTTCATGAATGGAGCGGTGACTTAAGCAAAAGGATACACTGGAATACAATGTAAATAAATGTGAAGTTGGAATACAATGTAAATAAATAAATGTGAAGTCATACATTTTGGTAGGAGTAATAGTAAAAAGGATTATTACTTGAATGATAAAAAGTTGCAGCATGCTGCTATGCAGAGGGACCTGGGTGTCCTTGTGCATGAATCACAGAAGGTAGGTCTGCAGGTACAACAAGTAATTAGGAAGGCAAATGGAATTTTGTCCTTCATTGCTAAAGGGATTGAAATAAAAAGCAGAGAGGTTATGTTGCAGCTGTACAAGGTGCTGGTGAGGCCACACCTAGAGTACTGTGTGCAGTTTTGGTCTCCTTACTTGAGAAAGGATGTATTGGCACTGGAGGGGGTGCAAAGGAGGTTCACTAGGTTGATTCTGGAGTTGAGGGGGTTGGCTTATGAGGAGAGACTGAGTAGATTGGGATTATATTCATTGGAATTCAGAAGATTGAGGGGGGATCTTATAGAAACATATAAAATTATGAAGGGAATAGATAAGATAGAAGTAGAGAGGATGTTTCCACTGGCAGGTGAAGCTAGGACAAGAGGGCATAGCCTCAAGATTAGAGGGAGCAGATTTAGGCCTGAATTGAGAAGGAATTTCTTCACCCAGAGGATTGTTAATCTATGGAATTCCTTGCCCAGTGAAGTAGTTGACGCTACTTCAGTAAACGTTTTTAAAGAAAAGGTAGATTTTTTTTGAACAATAAAGGAATTAAGGGTTACGTTGAGAACGCGGGTAAGTGGATCTGAGTCCACGAAAAGATCAGCCATGATCTTATTGAATGGCGGAGCAGACTCGAAGGGCCAGACGGCCTACTCCTGCTCCTAGTTCTTATGTTCTTATACCTGTCTGACTCAGCTCACCTGGGCCTACTCCGTAGCTGAAGACATAAGCGAAGATGATGGTCAAACTGCAGTATGGCATCCAGCTCACGAGGTGCTGCAGGTAACAGACAGGGTTAGGAACCAATCATACGAAAGCATGAGCATTTTCTAATGCTCACACTGCCCTTCCGTCTCTGGGACAGCTGACCGTAAGGAAACAGGAATATAAGATGAGGAAACATACAAACATACCCCTTAGGAACCTGTTTGCCATTTGAGAAGATCACTGGGTAATCTGATTACAACCTCCATTCACTTTGATGTCTACTCCCTTACCCTCAGTCTCCTTTGTTATGATCTAACTCTGAGAGAAAAATATTCAATGGCCCAAATCTTCCAGTCTCTGATAGTTGGTGTTTAGATTTTTGATGGGTAATTACTGCAGATCTGGAATTCTCTGGAAAAGTCTCTGAGAGTTCCAACTATATAGATAGCCAGGTAAACATGGCTAACAATGAAACCTGTGATGATGCTATATATTTAAAAGGTTATTTTGTCCTAGGTTTTTTTGGAAAGAGAGATTGAATGAGAGGTACTGAGCAGTCTGTAAGAAAATCAACAGCTTGTGAGGCCTTGGATTTTTTTTTCAAGTTAGAACAATAGAAGCAGCCTGAATGGGTGTGGTCAAACTCCCAAAGAACCAGGGATTTTATGTTTAGCTTCCAGCATTTGCTGTTGGGGTCTTGAAGAGGTGAAAGCTTTTGCTTATCCCTTTCTCAGTTACAGCCATAAGCTAGGGATTCTCTGCCTGCTGATGGGAGTTGCACGTGAGACATTCTGTTTTCGGAATTTGCCTTTTGCCAAGGATTTGTTTATGGAATGTTATTATATTGGAACACTGAATTAGTAACAGTAACTGTACCTATTATTCTGTTAAGTTTTCCGATTCAGTTAAGTTATTCCAATTTCTTCTTCCTTTTGTTGCATTTTAACTATTGTGGATGAATAAAGTGTGTTTTGCTTTAAATCTGGTAGTTTGACCAATCGAATTGTATCTGGAACACATCACCTTACATTTTGAGGGGGTTTGGTGTGGTCCATAACAAACCTGGTGACACTCCCTCCCCTGAGTCACCTCTGACCACTCCGTCCCAGACACTTGACGTCACACATGATACGGTCAAGACCCTCCACCATGTCTGATCCCATTATCTGGACCTGACTAGAACTCATTCTGCACCTGACCCCCACATGCCCCCAGATTTGACTTGACCCCCAACCCACAGCCATATCTTCCCAACCTAGACCATCCTAGGTCCCAACACCCTCCTTCCCCCAGACACATCCACACTCTTCTGACAACTTAACACCTCCAGACCCTATCTGACCCTATCTGACCAGCCTATCCACTCACCCAATCTGCCATTTAATCTACCCTGCCTCATTTTGCACTGCCATCTAAAACCTCTGTACCCACCGTGCCCTTTGCCAGCCTGTCCTTTGCTGTCCTTTCCCCTTGCCCGCTTACCTCTCCATTCCTTCACCCACTGACCTGACTCAAGTTCATTCACTGACACATTGAGAGGCTGTTGCACTGCCCAACAGGGTTCATTGTGTTCTGGGGAATGAATGGATCCACCAGGCCATGGCAGCTACTGTGTGAAAAAGGGAAATGTGCCTTGGCTTCCTCTAACGTGATGAGAACTCATCTGGAATAAAGGTGCAGTGCACATTTCACCATCGGAAATTGGGCCCAAGAATATAGGAAACGAATGTGGATTAAAATAGTAAGTGCAGGAGCAGCAATCCAAACCTAGGAACAAAAACAACGTTGCTGGAAAAGCTCAGCAGGTCTGACAGCATCTGTGAAGGAAAAAACAGAGTTAATGTTTCGAGTCCAGTGACCCTTCCTTCAGACTAAAGACCCTGCCTCTACTGCCTTTGGGGGAGGGAATTCCACAATTAATAACCCTTTTAAAAAGAACGAAAATTCTCCATTTTAAATCAGAGACATCCAGTTCAAGTCTCTTCCCTGAAGGGAAACATCTTCTCTTCATTCACCTGGTCAAGTTACCAAAGAAACTTGTTTCAGTGAAATCCCTTCTCATTCTTGAAAACTCCAGTGGATCCAGGATCAACCTGGATTCATAAAATAACCCCATCATCCCATATATCATTTGAGCAAACTTTCTCTGAACTGCTCCCACTGCAGTTATCTCCTTTCTCAAAGAGGGAGACCAAAACTGTGTGCCGTATTCCAGGTTAGAGGGTTTGAGCTATAAGGAGAGGATAGAAAAACTCCATTTGTTTTAAGAATACAGTACATAGAACATTGAACAGTACAGCACAATACAGGCCCTTTGGCCCACAATGTTGTGCTGACCTATTATCCTATTCTAAGATCAAACTATCCTGCATACTCTATTATCCATGTGCCTATCCAAGAGTCACTTAAATATCCCTAATGTATCTGACTCCACTACCACCGCCGACAGCACATTCCACGTACCCACCACTCTCTGTGTAAAGAACTTACCTCTGACATCTCCCCTGTACATTCCTCCAATCACCTTAAAATTATTCCCCCTCATAATAGTCATTTCCACCCTGGGAAAAAGTCCCTGGCTATCCACTCTACCTTTGCCTCTCATCATCTTGTACACCTCTATGAAGTCATCTCTCATCCTTCTTTGCTCCAATGAGAAAAGCCCTAGCTCCCTCAACATTTCTTCATAAGACCTGCCCTCCAGTCCAGGCAGCATCCTGGTAAATCTCCTCTGCAACCTCTCTAAAGCTTCCACATCCTTCCTATAATGAGGCAATCAGAACTGAACACAGTATTCCAAGTATGGTCTAACCAGGGTTTTATTGAGCTGCAGCCTAACCTCACAGCTCTTAAACTCAATCTCCCTGCCAACGAAAGCCAACACACCATACACCTTCTTAACAACTCTATCAACTTGGGTAGCAACTTTGATGAATCTATGGACATGGACCCCAAGATCCCTCTATTCCTCCACACTGCCAAGAATCCTGCCATTAACCCTGTGTTCTGCATTCAAATTCAACCTTCCAAAATGAATCACTTTACACTTTTCCAAGTTGAATTCCATCTATCACTTCTTTGCCCAGCTCTGCATCCTGTCAATGTCCCGTTGCAACCCACAACAGCCCTCCGCACTGTCGACAACTCCACCAACCTTCGTGTCATCAGCAAACTTACTAACCCACCCTTCCACTTCCTCATCCAAGTCATTTAAAAAGATCACAAAGTGCAGAAGTCCCAGAACAGATCCCTGCGGAACACCATTGGTCACCAAACTCCAGGCTGAATACTTTCCATCTACTACCACCCTCTGTCTTCTTTTGGACAGCCAATTCTGTATCCAGACAGTCAAATTTCCCTGGATCCCATGCCTCCTTACTTTCTGAATGAGCCTACCATGGGGAACCTTATCAAATGCCTTGCTAAAATCCATATACACCACATCCACTGCTCTGCCTTCATCAATGTGTTTTGTCACATCCTCAAAGAATTCAATAAGGCTTGTGAGACATGACGTGCCCCGCACAAAGCCACACTGACAATATCTAATCAAACTATGCTTTTGCAAATAATTATAAATACCATCTCTCAGAATCCTCTCCAATAATTTGCCCACCACAGAAGAAAGACTGACTGGTCTGTAATTCCCAGGATTATCCTTGTTTCCTTTCCTGAACAAGGGAATAACATTTGCCACCCTCCAATCATCTGGTACTACTCCAGTGAACAGTGAGGATGCAAAGATCATCGCCAAAGGTCTTCCCTTGCTTCCCGTAGTAACCTTGGGTATATCCTGTCTGACCCAGGGGACTTATCTATCCTCATGTTTTTCAAAATTTCTAGCACGTCCTCCTTCCTAAACATCAACCTGTTCGAGCATATCAGCCTGTTTCATGCTGTCCTCACAAATGTCAAGGTCCCTGTCACTGGTGAATACTGAAGCAAAGTATTCATTAAGGACTTCCCCTATCTCCTCCGACTCCGCACACAAGTTCCCTCCGCTATCCCTGATTGGCCCTACCCTCACTCTGGCCATTTCTCTTGTTCCAAACATAAGTATAGAAAGCCTTGGGGTTTTCCCTGATCCTACCCACCAAGGCTTTTTCATGCCCCCTTCTAGCTCTCCTAAGTCCATTCTTCAGTTCCTTCCTGGCTACCTTGTAACCCTCTAGAGCCCTGTCTGATCCTTGCTTCCTCAACCTTAAGTAATCTTCCTTCTTCCTCTTGACTAGATGTTCCATATGTCTTGTCATCCAAGGTTCCTTCATCTTACCATCCCTTCCTTGCTTCAGTGGACAAACCTATCCAGTACTCGTAGCAAGTGCTCCCTAAGCAACCTACACATTTCTGTCATCGAACATCTGTTCCCAAGTTACCCTCTGCAGTTCTTGCCTAATAGCATGATAAGTTCCCCCTCCCCCAATTAAAGTAGCGGAGTCTGAGAGGAGACTTAATAGATATCTATAAAACTATGAGAAGCATAGATAGGATTGACAGTCAGAATCTATTTCCCAGGGTTGAAATATTTAATACTAGGGGGCATGCATTTAAGGTGAGAGGGGGAAAGTTCAAAGGAGGGACAAATTTTTTACATAGAGAGTGGTTGGAGGGTGGAATGTGCTGCCAGGGGTGGTGGTGGAGGCAGATAGGATAGGGGCGTTTAAAGGGCTTTTAGATAAGCACCTGAATAAGCAAGGAATGGAGGGATATGGACCAAGGGCAGGCAGGAGGGATTTAGCTTAATTTGGCGACATATTCAGCGCAACATCGTGGGCCCAGTAGTGTTGTACTGTATATGTTCTATGTGCTCTGTACAACAGCTGCAAAACTTCCCTGCTTTCATACCTAATTCCCGTTGCATCTCCGCTTAAGATTCCAGGATACAGGCCATCAGGATCCTGTCAGCGTCTGACAGTTTTCTGACGGCCACCTTTCCCTGCTGGTATCAATCATTACAAGTTCCTCCTTCCTTTTGATTCATTGGTATTTGGGCAGCTGTTTGTGCCCTCTACTGTGAAGACAAATGGAAAGGTCAGGCTCTTATAGGGTTAGTTGGAACTGCCGCTGCT